TGGGGAGCGGGATGCAGGAGGAGATGGACAACATCCCCGCGGGTAAAAGCCAGCGCTCGCCCCAAAGTCCAACAAAAAGCCCCTTCTGATCCTCGACCGCCGGGATCAGGCCGTCCCATGGGAGCCTCCTGGTTCCGCTAGGGCGAGACCCGACGTGATTTTTTAGAAGCCCCCCCAATAAACCGTGATCTTAGAGGTGCATTGGAGAGCTCAGCCAGATCTAGCTCCGGTCATTGCGATCCCCTGCCTCGTGCCAGCCCGAGACTGTTGGTCACGGGCTTAAATAGAGGGGATTCTTCCCTGAAAGGAGGAGAAAACAAATCTCCCTGTAGCAACCAGCCTTTCCACCCCCCACCATCTCCCCGCTCCTCCTTTTTACCCCCTCCCTCGCCGTTTGAGTCGGGATCGACACCGCTTCTTCCATCCGGCGAGTCCAAACGAGCCCCAGTGTCTCTGGATCAACCCCAAGCGGGGGGCACTGAATTTACACCCCTTGCTAAAGCAAGGAGGAGCCCCACAACCTCTGGGTAGGGGCCAGCTCTTTGCGGTATTAGGTATAATATGTCCTGGGTTTGTGTTTTGGTTTTTTTGCTTCTTTTTTTTTTTCTTCCTAACGAACTGGTGGCTTAGCTGGAAGCCCGGGTATAGGTTGGCTAACAGGACAGCAAGGGCGAGGGGGAAATCTTGGGGCAGGCACAGAGGATTTGGTTGAAAAAGACCTCGCTGCATATGGCAGCCGGGCAGCAAACGGTATCTCCTTCGCTTGGTGGCATATCATGACATCCAGCTGGAAGGAGATCCAGAAAGTTTTTCCACCTCCAAATATTGCTAGTCCAAATCCTAGCCCTACGTTGCAAACTCCAACCTCTGGGAACGATTAAAAAGAATGTGGCAGTGACCCCTAGTGGCATTTGAGGGAGGCTGATTGCTCATTTGGAGGGTGACACGTTTACAGAACGAGGCAGATTGGGAGCCCGCTTAGTGATTAGCTTTAAACGTTTGATTTGAATGGTTTAAGGTCATTTTGGGGTTCCTGAGCATGGCCATTACTTCTGGGTTGAGCAGACTGTCCCGTGCCTCCACTGTAATTTCCCGAGAGAACCTCTCCCACCTTAGAGTGGGTAGGAAGGGAATAAGAGTAATACCCAAACGTGTGTAATTTAGTTCCAAAACAAATCAAATTTCAAAGACTAGGTTCAACAGCTGCGGGGGAAAAAAATCCAATTATCCTATAAAGTGACTCCATAAACAATTTAAGAGGATCACAAAAGAGCAGAATTAAACTCTCCTTGATGTAGCCGGATGCTGTCCTAGTCCGGCATTTATCCGTGGCATTTGATAAGACATTATTCAACAATTCAAATGGCTTAAAACAGAAAGAAATGTGCCAATTCTGATTCGGCTAACAATATGCAACCATGCTGTGGCGGAAAAAAAAGTTTATTTTCCATCGATATTCTATTACTCTAGTTTAGATTTTTGTTTTAATTTTCCTTAACAAAGACCAACAGCAATCTAGTGCTTTGGAACTGGAGAAAGAATGAGAGAACTGGCTCTGTCAAAGTTCCTTACCTGACATTAAGCGAGTCCCTTAATCTCTATTTCTCAGCTTCAAATATTGTTAAAATGAAGTTACAACAGTATTTTACAGGGTTATGAGTTCCAGGCCGTTGATGTTTGTGAGTTGTTCAGATGCTACATTGAGTGCCATGCATTGCATAACCCAATGCATACATTTTACTTAAAATAGACAAAGCTTTTTCTGTAGTAGCTACTATATGTTAGAAACAATTTATTTTAATAGTGATTGTTTTGAACCATTCTCCAATGGGTATAGCAAGAAGCGAGAGTGACTTTTCAAGTCAACATAATTTTTCTTTCCTTAGGACAATGTTTTACACAGATGTTGCTTAAGAAGTAGACATTTTATTATGTGTATATATAATAACTATGCTGAATGCACTTTGAGAAATCCTGGCAATAAGTACGCTGCACTGGCCATTAAAGAAATGGTGTAAAAAAGGTGCACCATCATATTGCCTTGCTTTGAGCTATCTTCTTGTTTTCCAGACAACTTTAAGAATTTTAGGAGGCCATATAATACCATTTCAACCACTTGGAACACAGGCTAGTATAATAATTCCAGAGATTGGGATTTTCCAAAGGAGATTTTATTTTATTAACTTTTGCTCCATTGAAGACAAGCCATAATAAAAGAATAGGCACTGTGAAACCATAGTGAAAGGCATGCTGAAAGAGCTTGAAGACAAATTGTCCTCCATACTTTATAATTTGAATGTTTTATTTAGCTCGCAACTATCTAAAATAATTTCTTAGGGTCAGATTCTGATATTATTATTTACATGGAGCTGTTGTTCAGATTAGTCCCACTGAAAGTACAGTGTTAATTAGCAGTAGTAAATGCATCAGAAACCTGGTCCCAAATTACTTCCAAGGCAACTTCTATTTCCTGGGGGTTTCAAAGTTGTCAATGTACTTCGAAAGTCTAGCTGTAACTTTATGTATTGTTAGAATCTCTTCTAGTCTAGGTGAGCCTCTGTCAATGCACTGTCCAGTTAGCATATGTTCATGTTGACTAGACTTTTAATTTAGTAAAGAAGACCGCTCTGACAGAGAATAAGTTTTTTCTTTTTTTGGTAATTGCAAGTACTTTTACCTCTGTTCTTAGCACTGTAAATCACAGTGTCCATGGACTGATGTGATTCAAGAAGCATACTGTGTACTTTTCCACACTTTTTTTTAGAAGATTCAGGGTCAGATAGGCTGAGTAAATAAATCCAGCAACTGCAAGGAAGCAGTCAAATGAAAATAAATCCTGAGCTAGCTTACATGATACGTTCTTAGACCTTTTCTTAAGTGAGACATTCTTAATATTCTTTGTATGACCGAAATCAGGTTTGACCCCTATGTAACTGAGTTCCCTGAAAATAACCCGATTATTTGTCAAGCCCAAACTATAAAACATGGTTAGTTTTGTTGCTTTTCTTGGAAACAGTGTCACTTCTATCCTAAACATGAGCAATGGTGCCATGGAACCCAGAACAATGGAAATTCTGGTGTACAGCTTATGGCCATGAGGCAGTAAACTGCAACATATTTCTCTTTCAAAATCACTTTAACAGTCTTGGCTATAATCAATCAAGGAAGCTGTTTCAAGGATTGTGATCCAGTGGTAGAAAAGGCCAAAGAAGGTACCAACCTAGGGCTATTGTTATCTGGGGTGACTGGTGCAGGCATCAACCCAAATACAAGGATGCTTGGCTGCAACTGCTGTCTGGAGGTGTTTTTCATCATTTTACATAAAATCCTGGGAAGAATCCAAATATTTTGGACTTCATCTGAACAGTAGTTCGGTGTTTCTACTTTGTAGAATCAACTGTCAAAACAAGTCTTCCCAATCTCATGTCCCTCTTAATGATAACTGGTGAGAGGGCCACCAAGATTCAAAAAGTATCCTGACTTTCACTCTGCTCCCCAGCTAGAAGTGTTTCACTGAGTGGAGTTTCAAAATGTGAATGAGATATTACATGATGCCTTGGCAACATGTAGTACAACCTTCATCAGCAAAGGAGAGAGATTTGCCTGAAAATCTGTCAAGGGAAGGAAACTGGTAGGCCTCCCCTCAATACATTAGCCTCTTAGCAAGTGTGGGCCTGGGGGGATGTAATCAATATTAAGAACGGGAGCAGGCCATCCTTTGGAGCTATTTTTTTGATCATCCAATGATTACTTGTCTGCCTTTTACATACCACATTAGCTCAATTCCCCTCTTTTTTTCTCCAAAACACAGTATGATTCTGGAAAGTTGCCCGGTTTTTTTTTTCTTTACTCCATGATGACACATGATCACCAACCCCATGTTGTATTTTGTTTATTGATCAGGTTGTAATGAAAATGAGGCAGATCATCTGGACAGAGACCAGCAGCCTTATCCCCCATCCCAGAAGACCAAGCGTATGCGCACCTCCTTTAAACACCACCAGCTTCGCACCATGAAGTCCTACTTTGCTATCAACCACAACCCGGATGCCAAGGACCTCAAGCAGCTTGCTCAGAAAACGGGCCTCACCAAGAGAGTTCTGCAGGTAAGAAGCCACCATGACAAAATTGACAAAACTTCCCCTCTCCCCTGCCAGTACAATAGTATTACCCTTATTTATAATGCTATGTGTGTATATATATGCATATATGTATATGTGTGTATATATATATATATCTTCTTGTTAGCCGTGTCCCTAGTAGGTGCACAGAAAACTTAAGAGATAAGGTATTGCATGGTAGGAGTGCCCAATGTATACCTTACCACCCAAAAGTAGCCCACAGAATTTGAATACATGGCTTGTGATCACCCTTATCCTCAGTAGAGGGAAATTTTCTCTGGAGTTTATAAGCTCCAGAAGTAAAGCAGTTTGCCCTGGGGTCTGTAGTCTCTATGCAGTGACCTCCATATTAAGGACTAAGGTTGCTACAATCCACTTCATTTTGCACAAATTGGGTACAGCCTTGGGGGTTCCAGTAAGTTATTTATGTGTCCCTTTGTTAGATACAGTTTGGGTTCCCTGGTATATGACAACATTTGGCTGATGTGATTCTCCAGACCAGACTATCTACTTTCTTCATGTCTGTCAGACAGGTCATCAGTCAGGACATCCATAGAAACGTATATCATTATTTCCCTGCCTTAGACAACCCAGCAAATGACATATTTTTAAAAAAACAAACCAACAAACAAAAAGAACACTGGCAATCCCTTTATATCTGTGCTGGCTCACTAAGATCCAAGTGATGCACGTATTGCTGTGTGCAGTATGCAAAGGGAGGAAAGTGGTCAAGAAGGAAAATCTATTAGTAACAATTGCTTGTCCATGATGTGTATCATTTTAAATATTTTCAGTGAACCCACAGGTTTATGGGGTAGAGTAAGACTAGGTGACCCATAATAATCAGCAATACAGGGGATAGTGTCATTCTCCCTTTTTCATCTTTAGTCTTTAAAAATGATTATGAAAATTTACCATCCTTTGCAAAACTCTGCTCATCTCCTCTTTACCATGATGACTGAGGTAATCAAAGTCCTGAGGATGTATTATTTACCCACTGTAACATTTGTTCTCCTTGGAAGAGTGAGTAGAATTTTGCAAGACCGCTCTAAGTTCCTTATTATATGCTGCAATGTTCTACTAACCAGCTCCAATGGTGCTGGGCCTAATGTACATGTGCCTTTGTGTGACAGAAACGATACCTACTAGTACCAGATGAAGCTGTAGAGTTTACTTAGATGATTTGCCAAACAAAAACAAACATCAAAAATTACATAAAAGCAAAAACAAAAAAACACAAAAACAAACATCGGTAAAGAAATCAATTGGGATTGGTTTGCAGGTTTGGTTCCAAAACGCAAGAGCCAAATTCAGAAGGAACCTTTTGCGGCAGGAGAATGGGGGTGTCGATAAAGCTGATGGCACGTCACTTCCGGCACCGCCCTCAGCAGACAGCGGCGCTCTCACTCCACCCGGCACTGCGACCACTTTAACAGACCTGACCAATCCCACTATCACTGTAGTGACATCAGTGACCTCTAACTTGGACAGCCACGAATCCGGAAGCCCCTCACAAACTACCTTAACGAACCTTTTCTAACATTTGAGTTTTTTTTATTCTTCCTCTTCTTCTTTATTATTATTATTATTATTTTCAAGACTTTTTTTTAAACAAACCCACAAAATATTTGGGAAAATAAACAGCTTGGTGTGTAGCATCTGCAGCCACTTGGCAAATGAGTTTGCAGTAACATGTCTCTATTATAAATGAACATATTTTGTCTATAAATTGTATTCAGATTTTTTTTTAACTCATCAGAAAATTGAAGGGAAGATTATGAATCATTCTAATAAGTGCCTCTTAAAATTGTATGTTACTTATTTCCAGATTCTTGAAAAAAATGAGCTTTATCACAAAGGACAGAAAATTATTTTCCCACTTGGATAATTACATTAAGGCTCAGTTTAATTAAAACTAACAGATTGCTGCTCTGTGATTGTATCTGCACTCATGGTGTTTCAGAGTCCTAGTTCCCATTTTATTTTTATAAGACATTTTAAAATTTTGTATTATTCATCACACCTGAACAAATCAAGCTAGTAACTGGAATAAAGAAGCATTTTCAGTCCCAATGCTTTTTATAGTATAAACATTAGTTATGAACTTGACCCTGCTTGAGCAGCAAACATTCCTACTGAAGTCAATAATCCCAATCCTGCAAGCCCTTCACCTATACAGAATGTCTTCTGACACCAATGGAAAGTGCACCAATGGAAAGTGGATGGAGTATTTGAATGGTTAGACCAATGGCAATAATGTGTAAGGACAAGAAGACTGGGCCACTGGCCTGTTAATTTGTTCATACCCAATGCCCTGATTCTGCAGACAGATTCTAGAGCGACCTTACTTATGTGAGGAGCCTTATTGAAGTATCAGCCAGAAAAACTTTACTAATGTGAGGAGCCCCATTGACATCAGTGTGACTGCTAACATGAGTAAAGGTACTGAAGGTGCCTGACTATTTGCAGGATGAAGCCCTAAGCCTGAATACTTCAGTATAATCATTATTACATACATACATTTTAATTTTTATGTCTCTCAAATTGATTTGGGTTTTAAAAGAAATAAAGACAATTAAGTCTCTCTCTCTCTATATATATCATGGCTTTGATTCTGCACTGATAAAACCAGTGGGAGAGTTGGCCAGTGACTTCCATGAGCATAGGATCAACTTCCAAAAGCCTGTAATGATACTTAGGTCATTTTTTATTAATATTTTTTCAGGGAAGATGGAAATAAGCAAAATATAATTTATTAAGATGTTTAAGGAAACTGGTTTTAATACATTTTCATTGCTATTTTGAATTTTACTTTAGATGTTTCATGAGACTGCATCAGACATTTTGTTCAATATATGACTAATAATCTTTAATATTTCTAATATATTTTAGGGTTTTTTAAAATTTTTGTATAAAAGAAAAAGGGTAGAGAAAACTCTTATGAAATTGGGAATTGACAGTGGATAGTTTGGAGCAGATAAACTCAGAAGCCAGGTGGATGCTGATCTGAATACATTTCCTAGTTTACAATAGCAATTTTTCTTTTTCTTAATTTTATTTAAGCTAAAAGTCTGAATGGTCTGGGCAGTGGTGAATGTTCATTTGTATCCTTTTATTGTAGTTCAACATCAATTAGATTGTGCAGAGTCTCAGACACAAACAAACAAAAATAACAGTCAAGATCTATGTCTTGCTTTTAGTGGATTGTTAAGAATAACTTTGCACATATATCTCACTTTCTAGACCCCATCAAGTCTCTTTTTTGGTGGTCGAAGTGGCTATTTAATATATTTTAAAGGTGTCCTTTTTGGCTGTATAAATGTGTGGTTACATATTGACAGTTCACTGCCCACATTAAAGTGCATTATTGTAATTTTTGCTCAGGGTTTTTAGAAAATTAGCACAGAAAAGTAGCTTATTTTTTAAAAAAAGATGATGGAAGAGATGTTAACACTGTAATAGAGGAAAGGTGTGTTTTCCATTATATATTTAGCAAGTATGGTTATCATCTTCTATGGATATTAAATCTTGACTTTTCCTATTTCTATTACCTTATGGGCATTTACCACTAACCAGACCAAACAACCTTGGTAAGGCTGAGATCTTTATTAATACATTTTTACAGGTAAAAATATTGATACTTATAAATTTTGTTCTTTGACAGAACAATATATGGTACTATAGATCTACTTTATTAAGTAGACTAATTAAAACTCAGTTCTACTATGTGCCTTATGATATAACTTGGGAGTAAGTTTGTGAAAAATCAGGATATATGTGTTGTTTGTTAAATTAACTGTTTTAAGCCCTTTTGACACCTCACTAGTTTTGTACTGTTTTACCTCTTATTTCTGAAACTCTTTTTATGGTGTATCCTGTTAGAGGGGACAAACATGTCATAGAAAGCAGTTGTGCACTCTTTCAGATATAGTTGATAAATTCAATAATCTTATATATTGAGCTTCGTGTTTATAGTACAGTAAGTGGTCTAGCAAAATTGTCCATGTTTCTTTGTTTATTGATAAATGCATTGTATAGAAACTATTTCCCCTAAATATTTATGGACCAAACAATTGTGATATATCCTATTAAATTTGTGTGAATAAAACCATTTTGAATCTAAAGAGTTTTATTTCCCATCAGTTATTATTATTATTTTTTTAATTTAAAGTCTACCTGTACCAGTGTGTCTCTTTGCTTTTACAGTATGTGTGAATCATTGGTGTTAAACATGGTAACACAGCCTTATAAATACTTTAAAATCCAGTTTCTTTTTGGGCTTTTGCTTTCTTCATATGAAATATACATGCGATTGCTGGTGCAACTTAGGTTTTAGTTTTCAAAATTCTTTTTTCCTTAGTTTGCTTTTGAACATGAAAAGTAATGCCCCACTGATTTGATATTGCAACCCTGTCTTAGGATTCTAAAAATCAGAAAACTAGCAGCTAAAGTAATTGCATGAAAAATATAACCTAAATAATTATGATGAAATGAATCAAGATTTAATGCTAGGTATATTAAACACAAATTAGAATTGCAGACCCCTAAAAGCCAGGTTGCTCTGTAGTTTAATAAATTGTCACTATGATTTCTTTCAGGGAGAACAAATCTTGGGGCATTACAGCCAAACATCCCGACGTTTGAAAATTCCCTAAAGTATTAAAAGAAGGGGAAAAGTTTGATCGGAAATCCACTGCAGTGAAGACAAAGACAATATTAGGTTATGATAATCATACATTTAAAAATCTATTGAGCCAAAAAAAAGACTTGATGTCATTTCCTGAATGTTAACAAAACATATGTTATTTTATGATGTCTAATTAACAGAACGGAAGGCTTCAAAATTGTATGGTATTAAAACAAATTTAGAGAAACTGTGTATAAAACCAGAGCAACCTGGCAACAATCTACCCGGCCCATATTTGAAGGCAATTTTTCTTTAAAAAAAAGTCACATTTGTCAAGCACAAGTACTTGTAAAATAAAATCCGAATGCATTCATTCCACTTGCTTGCTAATGTGTATTAGTCATATCTGTTAAATGGATTTTTGTAAATTCTAAGAAAGCTTTTCATTCATTTAAGATCATAGGGATCAAAACCCAGTAATTTTAGTATTATTGTTTCTGACTTTTTTTTTAATGAAACAAAAAAATCTGCATGCACTTTTCCATCTGTCACTTATAGTGTACATTTCTGTATGATGAATTTCTCTTTGATGTTTCTTGTATAATAGCTTTCATTAATAAACATTTTATTTGATGCAAATATAGTTAACTTTATGAAAACACATATCTGTTTAAATTAATTTAGGCTTACCTTTTTGAAAAGAAGCAGTACAGTACAATTCCAAAATGTTATAAATAGAAATCATAAGGAGGTGGCAATACTGTTGCACTCTATAACATTTATTTTGGAGTTTTAATTTTTTCATGTTTATATTCACTGCATACAGTTGACATGTTTAAAAAAAATACTATCAGCCTCAAAAATTAAATAACACCCACATCTCCCTCCATATAAGCATATACAGTACAGCATGTAAAACCATCAATGATATTTAGAATACCAGCATCTAATTTGTGGTTCCCTGAGATGTTTACATAGTCACTATGCAAGGAGCAAATTCGTTTAACTAGTAAGAAAACTTTGTCCTAAGGAAGATCTTTGCCCAGTCCAAATCACAGATGATTTTTACAAGCCAACAAGCAAGTGTAACAATAATCAATTCTTTTTAGTGACAAGGTTTTGTAATTGTTAAAAAAAAGACTATTTGCAGAAAGATTTTTTTTTAAAAAAAGCTATATTCCTATTTAACTGTGTAGCCAAAGCATATGTTAAACAAATTAACATAAAAAGTCTTGCCAGAAAAATCTTTTCATTAAGATGACATTTTTATTATATACAGATGAACCCTATGTAAACGATGTAACTTTTATGAATACTGACAGACATTAAATATTTCACTTACGTGTATTCTCAGCATTTTGAATGTTTTCTTAAACTCTCTCAGTTTCTGAATGCTAAAAAGCAAGCCAAAGATACCCAGAACATATAGTTACGAGCAATGTAACACAAAGTCAGACACAGATTACTTTAATATTTTCAAAACCTGTAAATAGAGTGTTCAAGCTACAGTAAAAAAGTTATCATTTACTAGTGGCAATTATGGGGAGTATTGTTTAAATAACATTTTTTACAGTGTGTTGTAAAATACTATTGAAAAAGTTAGTACAGAGGCCTTAATTCAAATCAGCTTGATCAGAAATTTAAGTATACTGTGAAAATCTTAAACTGAGCCTTATGTGTTTTTGTAAAAGCAAATAAAGGTAGGAAAACAGTTACAGTTATTCATATTGCATCACCCTATGGTGTTCTTCTGCTGTGCTTATAAAAATAATGCCATTATGACCTCTAAGAAATTGATCTAATAATTAAGGAACTTGCTGGTGGGGCTGGGGGTGGAGAGGGAAGGGGGATCCATTTATCTAATGTAAAAAGTTGTATAAACCAATGTGTTCATTATCTCTAGTAAATGGACAGATTCCTTGATTTTCTTTAATTCTTAGAGACGTACTTGTGTTAGAAATCCTGCCCTTCATGCTGCTGATTTAAATAGGGGGAAATGGAATGAACTAAAAGCTCCCGGGGAAAGTCTAATGTTACAAGATAGGAAAGTAGGCTGGAAGGGACCTAGATATCAATAGCAAAACTCCCTGGTTTGGGCCTGATTCTTTTTCTTGATCCATACTAAAAACTATTATCTATTTCAGTGAAAGTTCTTCACCCCCCCTGCTATGATTGCTTTGTTTCATTAACCTAGTTGGACTTGTTCCAAACATGAAGGTACTGTAATTGGCTAACAGAGAAAAAAAAAAGGTGAGCAAGTTAAAAGAGTTGGGATTATAATTACAAAGAAGAAATGATGGAATCCAAAGCATATATGTGTTCAGAATGTAAGAAAAAGACTTGGGGAGTCTTACTGTAGTCCCCAGTAGCAACGTGGCTACACTAGAAGCATCTTTATCATTGCATGGTACTCCCTGGCACCTTTGTTCTCAACACAGAAGCCAGTGCACCTATCCTGAAAAATTTTACTCGGAATTACTTGTTGGAGAAACAACTTGCAGGATCAGGTGAAATGACTGAAGACCAGATCCACAGCCCAAGACAGTCGATGGGATTTTTTCCTTCTCAATCTTGTAACCTATAGTTCAGGCCCACAGAGATTCAATTACTATCTTTCCCTTAAAAACATTCCTTCCAGAATGAGAGTACAAGATATAGGACAGCCAATGCTGTTCTGCCTGGAGTACTTCATTCTTCCAAGCTGCTAATCCAAGCATCTGGCACAAACATTAAATTGACTTTAAAAATATATTTCCTTCCCCAGACCAAATATAAGGCACAAATTATACTACTGGAATTTCCAGAAGCTACTACAATTTTGCAAAACTTATTCAATTATTCTGCAATGCTGGGCAATATTCTGGGTTTCTTATTTGACACAGACCTATTCAGATGTGTACCTATACAGTATACATACTCTTAGCCTTGCCTTCAGATATTCAGATACTTTTGTAGTTAAGTCCTTTGCACCTACAGAAAAACTTCTTACAGTTACACACAATAACCACATAAGTTTTAATGCTCATGTTATGGATTTCTCTTAAAATGACTCTTTCCTTCAGAGTAGATTTTACGTTAAGTATCTGTATTTTGTGTGTTTTTCATTTATTTTTACCAAGAACTACAATGACCTGAAGCATTTTTGTGGAGCATTTAGCCAGCTCTTCTTTGTAATGCATTGCAGTCTTTGAGGTTAGGGTTTGTTCATTACTGAAAGGGAATATTCCATTCCACTAATGAATGTTACCAGTGGACAGTTTGGAAGTAGGCTCAATACTAACTTATATTAATTCAATTTGTATTAGAAACAATGGGCTCTTCGTTGCCTTCAGTTTTGGGTCAAGTGTTTCTGGGCTTGAGGTTGCTAGTAGAACCATCTTGTAATATCTGGTATTAGCCACTGACCGAAGCAGGATGTCAAATTTGTGGTCCAGTGGTCTGAGCACTATGGCAAATTCTGTGGTCTCTGTTTTGTAATTTTTTCAAATTGCATAGAAATAGGAAAAAAAAATATATAGAAAATTATGTATAAATACATATACATTACTGGGAAATATAAGTTAACTCTGCCTTCCCATAATTTAGTGAGGATTTCTGTCTGGAAAGATGTACAGCATTTTGAATCTGTAAGGCTGCTGTAGTGGAAGTGCCCAGTTCACTCTACCTGGCAAGTTTGCTTCCTAGCCCCACATACCTGTTCCTCTTTCAGCGTAATAGGTAGAATGTACTTTCCTCAATGTCTAGCGCATAGCTTGGTGATTAGGGTACTTCATTGAAAACTGGGAAATGCATGTTTAAGGCCATGCAAAAGCTCTGACCCCTAGTCTTTTGGGCTAAAAGGGGAGGATGATTTCTATGTCCCACACTTGCTAGTCATGGGTTGGTTTTTTTTGCAACATTTCTGGGATATGCACTGAAGTTACATGCCTAACCGAGTGGAATATGATCAAACCAAATTGTGAGTGACCAGAGCAGGTCCATCTAAACATGCTAAATTTAGCTGCATATGTTATTTACCCACCAGAAAAGGAGCTGGATTTGAGCATATGTGACTGCTGGTACATAATGTGCTGATGCTGTTTTGTAGCTCTTAAAATGGTACACTTGAGGTATCAGCCTGTTTTCTACTTTTTCCTTGAAGATATTTTATAGCAGCTAGATCAATCTACATGTATAATTACTACCTTCACTAAACAAATTGTCTCAATTTTTCCTTCTTCAGTTGGTCAAAGTTATTTCTAATAGATAAATAAATCAATTCATTCTTCAATTTAATTTATCTTTAGGTACTTATTTGGCACCCATCATCATAGTACTTAAGTGCTTCACAAACACTGATTTAAAAGCAATGCTTTCACTTTGGATGTAAACGTATAAGATCATTGGGTGAGAAATTGCTGCAAAAGTCAATGGGAGTTTAAAGACTAGGGGAATGGAGGCCCTATATGAGTGATGTTCAGCTAAGCAGTCCTTTTTGTTTCAGTGTGTTAAGTACTTATTTAAAATAGCAACATGGAAGTTTCAGCAAGTTCCATCTGGAGAACTCAGATGTTTGGTTGCTTCTCTAAGGTTTATCCAAAGTGTCTGAACTTGGTGCATCTACAGAATGGAACAATGAAATCTTAAGCTTTCTGACTTGATTTTCTGGGATTTCCTGCTTCAGGTCTGGCCTTTTGAACCAGAATATCCTTTTAGCGCCTTTTCAGGTTCTGAATGAAAACCAAAAGTGATGAGCTGCCTGATAATAGTGAATAAATAAAATAGGGAATAATAGTGAATAAAATACTGTCCAAATAGGTTTATATCAGATCCAGTTTTAGAAACGAATGAAGGTTTGTGAGAATGGGAAGTTTATAGGAGTAGCAGGGAATACTTATTTTTCTTTCTCAAAACAGATTTCCTGATAACTATTTATACAGGTTTCTCCTCTACCACCATAAACATCTTGCTATAATTCTACATAAATTCAGTTTTCTTATCCTCAGACTGGACATAAGTTAGCTTTTCCCATTTCTTTAAGTACCTTTTTGAGTTTCTTTCAACTTTTTGTGCCTCTGTATCTTTTTAGCACATGGACACCTAAGCTGTGTACTGTTTCTTAGATGTAGACTTACTGTTGTGTCTCAGGGCACTAAGGTGTGCCTACTCCTTCAAAAGCAGAGGCAGCTTATCTAGGGAGCCCTGAGAGCTTGGCAGGGCTCCACAGCTGCAGGTTGCCTTGGCAGCAGGCTAATCAGGGTATTAGCTGGCACCTGTACCCAGTCAGCTGATGGGAAGGAGACAAGGTCCTGGGCACATAAGCCCCAGGGCTGGGGCTGGTAGGGTGTTAGTTCTGTGTCAGCAGCCAGGGGGAAGGAGTTCTTGCAGG